TGCTGATCCAGGCTTGAGTGGGCATCTTTTGAAGTGTCATCCAACACACCGTGCATACCTTAAACTCCCAAGTATTTTCACCACAAAACCTATATTGATCCCTTTTGCACAGTTATAAGTTACTGATGAGTAACGCATATATTAATGGGTGAAAGCTTGGGCTGACAGCTAATTTGAGTGTAGCATGCAATACAATGGTTGAATGAAACACTAGATGTCTGCAAAAACTTGATTCTTCGCACCAGAAAAATAGGGTGGAAACAGTCTTGTGCTGAGTTGACTAACATACTGCAGCTTATGGAAATTTAATTTGTTCATATAACATATTTAGTGTGCACTATGGTAGCTCACCCTAGGTTTGGGAAAGCAAAAACCATAGAGCAAAAGGTGTTATCTGGCTTGACTGCAAATTATCTACCTTTGAGAATAAAGTTTAGACATTCTATTTTAAAGCATTACGCTCTATTAAACTTAACTATTTTCAATATTAAAAGAATCTAATTTATAATTTTTCAAATTAGGTTTGTATTTTTAAACCACATGTCTTAAGTCCAAATATTCATCCATGTCTGCAAATTTCCTGGCTAAGCAATAAAATAAACTTTATTCTTGAAGGGTTACCAGATGAATAACCATATTTTGGCATCTATTGTTTTTTAGTGGTCAAAAATAAGTCTGTAACTAAATTGTTCTTTGTCCCATATTAATTTGCTGTTTTCCATTAAGCCATTTGCATTCCATAAATGTTTCATTTCTAGAAATGAGATAAATGCAGTGCTCATTTCTAATATGACTACTGTGCTAGATACTTCTTTTGTTAATGTATTCGGAAGATTCTTTGATAAGCTGTAATTAGTTTCATGTTAACAATGAGAAACATACTCAGTAGTTAAAGTACAAGGATATTAATGCATTAACAGTGGGCTTTCTTAACTGGGCAGTTAATCTTTACATTTTAATACATTTTTTTACAGCATGCGCTACTCGTTTAATATAAGTCTCAAATTAGATAAATAAAACTCATTTTAAGGATGCACATATGCAGCTAACATTTCTCAAAAAGAGAGGGTTTTTTGGTGGAATGAAATTTGCTCTTCAAAGCAAGAACTAGTATTATTTTATCCATATTCATTCATCCAAGAAACCTGAAATGTTTCTACTATGATCTCTCTCTATCCCCCTTCTTTTAACCTATTTCCAAATCTCAAACACTTCCTCGTTTTTCTTTCCACTCAGATTTATTTTTCCTTGACCCACTGCATATGTAGTATGAGTAATTTTACAATTTTGAGCTCACTATCGAAATGCAAATTGTGGTTGCCATAAGAGTTGAAAGCTGTAGGCACATGAGGTCACATTTTGGAGGTGTACTGCTATTTGCAGACTGGAAAAGTCTCAAAAGAACAGTAAGACAAGCTTGTTTCACTACCAATCACAAATAGTATTGTAAGGGATGACTCCAGAGCATTTGTCATAGGGAATCTAAATGTGTTCCTTTGTTTAAAAAGAAAAATGGCAATTTTTAATTTGTATGACCAAAGTCCAAATGTATTCTGCCACCACCAGTTTTGATTTAAGAAAATTAGAGGAAAATTAGAGAAACTTCAATTTGCTTGGGAGAGGCAGCATGTCACTAGAGAGACCTATATGAAATGATGCCTCCCTTCCTAGGGCTGAGCTTTTGCAACATTAGTTCTTATGTTACATTGACGTCAAGGCAGCATTTGACTTAGTATGGTATTAAGGAATCCTAGCAGAACTGAGGTAAGTCAGAATTACCTGTCCAAGCTCTGCACTAATTGGAATTATACCTAGCATAAAGGAAGATGACTGTGGCTATTGGTGATGAATCATCTGAGTGCCAGAACATCACTGAAGGAGTTACTCAGGGTCGTGTCATATGGTCAACCATCATTCAGCTACTTCATCACAGAACTTGCTTCCATCATTAAGGTCAGAGGTCAGATTTTTAATAATTGCACAGCAAGACCTGGGCAACATTCAGGCTTGGCACGGTCTGTGGCACTAATGTTATTTCCCATATAAGTGCCAGGCTATGACCATCTCCAGCAAAAAGAATCTAGCCATTTCCCTATTATAGTCAATGACATTTATCAATGCTGAACCCCCACTGTCAACATTTTGCAGATTACCATTAACCAGAAACTGAACTTTATGAGCCATAAATACTGTTGCTATAACAGCAAGTCAGCAACTTGCTTTCCAACTCCCCAAAGCCTGTCCATCAACTACAGGGTATAAGTCAGGAGTGTCATGGAGTACTCTCCATTTGCCTGGTGAGTGTAGCTCCAACAATACTGAAAGCTTGACACCACCCAGAACAAAACCTGCTTGATTGCATTGCTGGCAGAGATAGAATCAGAGTAGCAGCATTAAGTATCATCTACAAGATGCATTGCAGCAACTCACTAAGGCACCTTCCAAACTTGTGACCTCTACCATCTCAAAGGAGAGGGCAGCAGATGCATTGGAACACAACTACTTACAAATTCCCCTCCAAGCCACACATCCTGAGTTGTTACTGTATCACCATTCCTTCACTGTCACTGACTTTTTTTCTTTGACCTCCCTTCTTGACAGCACTGTGATTTTACCTATACCCCGTGAACTGAAAAGATTCATGAAAGCAGTTTAAAACCATCTTCTCTAGGGTATTGGGAATGGGGAATAAATGCTGGTCTAGCCAGCGAAATGCACATTCACTGCATGGATGAGAATAAATTTAATAAAAGCTTAGCCCCATCATCCTTTTATGGTTACTGAATGAATTTCTTCATTAAAAACACCCGAAGGGATTGCTGCAAGATAAAAGATTCTGGTGAAGTACTGCTTAGGCACAGGAGGGAAGCCCTCTTTAGAACTGACAAAGGGAGAGCCCGATGTGATAAAGGAGTTAAAATTTTCAGACTTACTGGGGTGCATTATTCCTTAACTGCCAAACAGCCTTTTGATGTACACAACAAAAACAGAAGTTGCTGGAGAAGCTCAGCAGGTCTGGCATCATCTGTGAAGAAAAATGTCAGAGTTAAGGTTTTGGGTCTGGAGACCCTTCGTCAGAATAGGCCTTAGACAATGGTTGACCATTTCAAATGTAATTCCAGTTCTCCAGCTCAGGAAAATACCTTTATTTGCTCCCACTCTTAGTCCAATTGGTTGTAGCCATAGCATCTTCAGTCATGGCTTCTCTTCATGCCTAACACTGTTACCTCTGGAATCTAGCAAGGAACTCTCCTTGGTCTGCTCCACAATGACTATCATTGTCAAAAGCATCTGTACACATTGGATCAGGTGCAACATGTGTACTAATGTCTGTATTTCTTGACCCCTCTTCTGCCTTTGTCGTTGAATTGCTAGACCAGTTATCTGATGCTGGATGAGGTGCTGTTTCTTCTAGTTCAATATTGGGACAAATGAAACTTTTCCTTCACTCCACCAGAAGGCATATACCATCACCAAGTTCACCTCTCTCAAGCTGTTGTCAATTTTAATCAGGCTGTTGGGACCTCGACATGATATTTGATCTGAAGTTGAGCCTCTGGACCTGTATGCCCTTTATCACTATAGAGCATCTAATCTTCCTCTGTATCGTTAGCTACCTTAACCCATCTTGAATTAAATTGAGCTGCTACTCAAGGTGAATTTACCAAGATTGCTGAAAAAAGTGTAAGCTGAGCTGGTTGAGTATTTAATAGCTCATTTGAACCTCGACAATTGCAATGGATTGAATAAAGGCTCATGACATCCAAACAAAGTCCAAACACCAGTTACAGGAAAATAGTCATGAAGGATCATTAGAAATATTCTGTGTAAACACCTTGACGGGAGATTTTAAAGGTTTACAAAGTGACTTCTTGAAGATGATGTCTGATTTTTTTTTTTGTTTGAGGTGCTTAGTAGGTTGTTGTATAAAGGTAGTTGATCAACATTTGTATATTTGGATTGTCAAAAGCTTTTGATAAAATGCAAAACATATAAAAATATGTTTCATTATATAAGATATTGTTTGTATTTTGGTAGGTAAGTATTGTCTAATAGAAACTAGCTAATAGCCAGAGTTATAACTATGGCAACGTAATTTTGGCCATTATATGTTAAATGTTGGCCTTTTCTTAAGCATAACCTGCATATCTTGTCTATACATGTAGCACTGTACACTTGTAATTTGAATATGTTTGCCTTTTTCTTCCTCGAAAAATGTACCACCGCATACAGTTTAGAGATTCATAGAAACCAAAACGTGATTAGTCAATGTAGGCATAATTGGGCACAAAGGGTTCTGGAGGATACAGACAGGCAAATCACTAAAAATGGTAAAGGTTAATAATGCCATAAACCAAAATATTGTAGTTCTATTCCAAATTAATAGAATGGATAAGCAGAACTAAATTTTTATAAAAACTTGGATACATCATGCTTTGTAATATTGAGAGTAGTTTTGGTCACCATGTTATGTGACAAAGAAATAGAGGCACAAGCAAAAATGTGAACAACATGTAAAAGGATGATATCAGGAATGAAAGATTTATAATTTGGAAAGATTGAACTTTCAAATTGAATTCTAAAGGAAAGACTGTTTGTTTGTGATCTGATCAAAACCTTGAAGATTATGAAAGCATTCAATGCAGCAACCATAGAGAAGCAGCTTCATTTGTGGAAGAGACCAAAATTGCAAACTATTTTTTTTTTAAAAGGTAATAAATCCTGTAAGACATTCAGGTGAAACTTCTTTCTTGGAATGATTACAATGTGGAACTTTCAACCACAGAGTTGAAATGATAGTATTATGTATGGAGAAAAAAATAGATTAATTAAAATCAAAATACTGTGGATGTGGAAATCTGAAACAAAAATAAAGTGCTGGAGAAACTCAGGTCTGGCAGCTTCTGTGAAAACAGAAACAGAATTAACATTCCAGTTCAGTATGAATCTTCAAGAGTTAAACTGTATTCCATGTGTTAATCCTGTTTCTCTCTCCACAGATGCTGCCATCCATCTTGAGTCTCTTGCACTTTCTGTAGAAATAGATTATACTGCTCTGGATGGGTGTTTTTGAGAAGGTTTGTGTAGCACTTGTACAGACCCCTTAGCCTGAACGGCATGTTTCTGTGCTGCAGTTCGATGCAATCCTTTGTAATGTACTGTAGCAGTTTTACTTTATTCTGAAATTAGCATGTAATCTATCTTGAGCAGCAATATTTTATCTAACAATTGTGAATCTTGTCTTGATGCAGCTGATAACTGTATTTACAGGAAACGCTACACAATGCGTGAGTACAAGTTGGTGGTCCTCGGTTCAGGAGGAGTTGGGAAGTCAGCTTTGGTGAGTTCTAAACCATTGAAGTGAAGCAATAATTTCTACCTCCAATTAGCTTTTAACCACTGTTATATGGGTCCATTGACTGGCAGTCCTTGTATTTAACTGCAGAGGCTATCTGTAAATCAAACACTAATCGGGTAATTGATAATGGGCCCACCTCTCATTTCTTATTGAGGGGTAATTCTGATGTGTTCACATTCTTCAGAAAAAGATAGTGATAATTATAGTTATATTGATAATTTTCAGCAGAATATAGACATGCTTGAGAAATGGGCATACAGGTGTCAGATGAAAATTGAAGCCAAGGATCAGCAGCAATGTACTTTGGTAGGAAAAATGAGGAGAGGATACAGTTTATTTGGGTTATATATGCACAAAAAAATTTGAAGGTGACAGGGCATCATGGGTCAAACACTTTTATAAGTTGATGAAACATAGAGTACTAAAACAGGACACTATGGTGAATTTTGGTTTGGCCTCAGTTGGATTATTGTGTGCAATTTTGGTCTTCATGCTAAAGAAATGATCTAAAGTTTTAGATGGTACAGAAATGCTTTGAGAATACTTCCAAGTGTAAAACACATGTTATGTGGAAAGATTGCTGAAGATGAGATTCTTCTGTTTGGTGAAGAGAGGATTGAGAGTAAATTTGATTAGTGTGTGAATCGTGAAGGATCTTGACAGTAAATAGGAGAACTGTTCCTCTTGGCAGAAAGCTTGAGAACCAGAATAAGCCTTTTTTTTTTCCTGATTAGCTTAAGAATAAGAGGCAACACTAAAACTTCTTGTATTTCAATTGATTAGGGTCAGGAATGCACTATCTATGAGGTAGTGCAGGCATATCCAATTGTGACTTTCAAAAGGGAATGTGATAATTATTTGGAGAGTAAACTGCAGAGAAAAGGTGTGAAGGTGAGACTAGCTAAATTGCTGTCACAGGGAGCCAACATGATCTTCAGAGGCTGCATGGCCTATGTCTAAATTTTTCATGATTCCGTAACTTGACATATCGTAAAGGTTGAACCCACAACTATGTTTGGTCTGTAGTTCAGAGCAGCAGCATACAGTACGTTCATCAGAAAACACTTTTCACGTTTTGTGTTTCTCAAGTGCTGGAATTAAAGCAACAATCAAAGGTCATCATTGTCTATTATAACCTGATATGAATCTGTGAAGTGTAACTTCTGTATATTCATCTGTTTTTATAGTAATGTTAAGTCAATTGCACTGTTTTGCAGACTGTACAATTTGTTCAAGGAATATTTGTTGAAAAGTATGATCCAACAATAGAGGACTCCTATAGAAAGGTGAGTTTATTATGAAGCCAAAAACTCCAAGCTAGAGCCGGGATAAATTACTTCCTTCGCTTAGAGTGGGACAATTTTCTGAAGATTTTCTCCACGCATGATAGTCTTCTGAGCTGCATGGAATAGCTATGTTACAAATAAAACTTGTTTAGTGATAAATGATTTATGTCAAGCTTAAGAGAATAGTTAACTATTTAACTGGACATAGTTAATACAAATAGCTCTGCTAGTAATATTTATTTTTGTGGATCACTGTTCAACAAATCATATTGTACAGAATCCTTTATACCATAGCAAGTTTCAAACTTTAAACTTTATAAGGTTCAGTGAAATAGAAAATATAATACACATTTGACCTTTAAGATAATGATTTGTTTGACAATTAATTCAACATTTTTTTTGGTCCGATTTAATGTAGAAAAAATTTCTGCTAACCAGGTACATGTCAGAAACAATTTGACTAATCCCTTTTAGTTTCAATAAATATCTTTTTCTTATGGCAGCAAGTTGAAGTCGATGGACAACAATGCATGCTTGAAATCCTGGATACAGCTGGAACGGTGAGATCTAGTTACATACAATATATGGAAAAGAGTGTTCCATTTGGCCCAACCAGTCTGTGCTAGTTTTGAAATCAGTCTCCTCCCATTCCATCTGCCTCATCTTTGAGCATTTTGCTTTCCTTTTTCATGTACTCATCTGGTTTCCTTTTGAAAGCCACTTCATTATTACTCTCAACCACTTCCAGTCGTAGCAAATTTCACATTTAACAACTCTAAATGAAGAAGAAACCCCTTATTTTGCTCATGGATTTATTAATAATTACTTTGTAATAATGGCTTCTGGAAGTTGGATTTCTGCAACATAGGGAAGCATTCTCTCAAAAGTTCAGCTTGAAGTAACATATGCAATATCTCGTATATACTTTACCCTAAATAACTTGAATGGCTCAACATTCCAACAATTTTTAATGAAAGCTCAGGATTGGTTTTGTCAACTGCACTTCATCCAAGACAATTGAAATGCCACCTTTGCCACACTCCATGTTATATGTGGGCTCTATGTTGGGTATAATGCTTTTGAAGATTCGTCAATGTATGTATTGATTTCTCTTATTTGTTCATGGACTGTGGGCATTGCTGGCAAGGTCAGTATTTATTGCCTGTTCCTAATTGACCTTGAAGGTAGTTGGGAGATTTTTTTTGCTACAGAATTCTGTAGGCTAAGAATGTTCGCAAAGCTTGGAAAATATCACAGTTCAAATATCACCATTGAAACTAGTAAAATATCCTCATTTAAAGCATGCAAATACAATGATAGCATTCATTTCAAGAGGGCTAGAATGCAGCAGCAGAGTGGTACTGCTCAGATTGTATAAGGCTATGGTCAGGCAGCATTTGGAATATTGTGAGCAGTTTTGGGCTTTGTATCTAAGGAAGGATATGCTGACATTTGGAGGGGGTCCAAAGGAGGTTTACAAAATTGATTCCGGGGTTTAAGGGCTTGTCGTGTGAGGAGCAGTTGAGGACTCTGGGTGTGTACGCAATGAGGTTTGGAATGATATGGGGACATCTCATTGTAACTTGCAGAATACTGAGCGACCTGGATAGAGTGGATGTGAAGATGATGTTCTCCCCTAGTAGGAGACACTAGGATACAAGGACACAGCCTCAGAGAAGGAACGACTCAATAAACTGAGATGAGGAATTTCTTCAGCCAGAGGGTGGTGAATATGTGGAACTCATTGCTGTAGAAGGCCATGGAGGCCAAGTCATTGAGTGTATTTAAGACAGAGATAGATGGTTCTTGATTAGTAAGGGGATCAAGGATTATAAGAGAATGGGGTTGAGAAACATCAGCCATGATCCTGCACGAGCCCTGGGTGTTTGGGTCCAGCATGGTGGTTTAGTGGTTAGCATTGCTGCCTCACAGTGCCAGGGACCTGAGTTCAATTCCACCCTTAGGCAACTCTCTGTACGATGTTTGCACATTCTCCCCGTGTCTGCGTGGGTTTGCTCTGAGTGCTCTGGTTTCCTCCCACAATCTGAAGATATGCAGATTTGATGGATTGGCCATGCCAAATTGCCCATAGTGGCCAGGAATGTGCAGGCTAGGTGGATTGGTGGTGGGAAATGCAGGGTTATGGGAATACAATAGGCAGACAGGTCTGGGTGGGATGCTCTTCGGAGGGTCGTTGTGGACTCGATGAGCTGAATGGCTTAGAGATTCTATGATCAAAAATTGGAGCAGACTTGAAAGGGCTGAATGGACTAATTCTGCTCCTATATCTCATAGTTGAGTTATTTAGGCTTTGGGGGTACGTGTGCATTGTAAAAGTTGCAGCATTTTAAATTAATAAATTTGAATTATTCAAGTTAAATTTTAAAAAATTAAAACTGTAAATGTAACTGGATATACTTTATTTACAGGAACAATTTACAGCAATGAGAGATTTATACATGAAGAATGGTCAAGGTTTTGCATTAGTGTACTCTATAACAGCACAGTCGACATTTAATGACTTGCAGGATCTAAGGGAGCAGATTCTTCGAGTCAAAGACACTGATGATGTAAGTACATGCAAGTAACTCTTTCCTGGAAAACCTGATCCAAAATTTTCTGGGACAACAAGGTGCAGGGCTGGATGAACACAGCAGGCCAAGCAGCATCATAGGAGCAGAGAGGCTGACGTTTCGGGCCTAGACCCTTCATCAGAAAAGGGGGAGGGGAAGGGGGTTTTGAAATAAATAGGGAGAGAGTGGGAGGCGAATAGAAGAGGGATAGAGGAGAGGATAGGTGGAGAAGAAACAAACAGGTCGAAGAGGCGGGGATGGGGCCAGGAAAGGTGAGTGTTGGTAGGGAGTTAGGAAGGGGATAGGTCAGTCCAGGGAGGACGGACAGGTCAAGGGGGCGGGATGAGGTTGGTCGGTAGGAGATGGAGGTGCGGCTTGAGGTGGGAGGAGGGGATAGGTGGGAGGAAGAACAGGTTAGGGAGGCAGGGACGAGTTGGACTGGTTTTGGGATGCGGTGGGGGGAGGGGAGATTTTGAAACTTGTGAAATCCACATTGATACCATTGGGCTGCAGGGTTCCCAAGCGGAATATGAGTTGCTGTTCCTGCAACCTTCGGGTGGCATCGTTGTGGCACTGCAGGAGGCCCAGGATGGACATGTCGTCTGAGGAATGGGAGGGGGAGTTGAAATGGTTCGCGACTGGGAGGTGCAGTTGTTTGTTGCGAACCGAGCGTAGGTGTTCTGCAAAGCGGTCCCCGAGTCTCCGCTTGGTTTCCCCGATGTAGAGGAAGCCACACCGCGTACAGCGGATGCAGTATACCACATTGGCAGATGTGCAGGTGAACATCTGCTTGATGTGGAAAGTCTTCTTGGGGCCTGGGATGGGGATGAGGGAGGAGGTATGGGGGCAGGTGTAGCACTTCCTGCGGTTGCAGGGAAAAGTGCCGGGTGTGGTGGAGCTGGAGGGGAGTGTGGAGCGGACGAGGGAGTCACGGAGAGAGTTGTCCCTCCGGAAAGCAGATAAAGGTGGGGAGGGAAAGATGTCTTTGGTGGTGGGGTCGGATTGCAGATGGCGGAAGTGTCGGAGGATGATGCGTTGGATCCGGAGGTTGGTGGGGTGGTACGTGAGGACGAGGGGGATTCTTTTTTGGTTTTTATTGCGTGGACGGGGTGTGAGGGATGAGGTGTTTGACTTTTGTTTCAATCCAGTCAGTAATGAAAATGCTCAATATGAAAAAGCAGGAAATTAGAAAGATCCAAAATTCACTCCCAGTTTGTATTTCAAGTTAATTTAAAACCAAAAACATCTGAGTTCATTCAGTACATATAAAATTGTTGCACAGTGCCACAAACTAGTGGGGCATTGTTCATGCTTAGATCTCCAAACTTGCTCTGGAGTTGCCAAAGTGGAAACTAGGTTTTATCCCACTCAGAGAGCGAATGAGATTGGTAGGGGAGTGTAACCAGGCCACTTCATATGTTATTAGTACCATTTTAGAAGTGAGATTATGATGTTGGAGAAGCCGCCAACAGATCCTCCAAGCACATCCTCATTGGAGCTGGTCATTGTATGGTTTGAAGAGCACATGGGAGGGAAAATAAATGTTTTGCCGACACCATCACCTAACCCACTCCCCACATCCGCATGTGCGTTTGTAAGTCATAATATTAATGCACTGGATTTTGTCAGGCAGTCGTTTTCCTGTTCAAGACCTAGCAAGTCAATGACATCAATATCTCAGCTGTTTTGGGGAGTCCCTGTTGGATTTTATGCCCATCCTGAAGCTAAAGAGCAGAATTTGGGGCTTCAATCTCTTAAGATTCACCAGTGGAGCACTTACTGCTGTGATGACATGTCACCACGCTGCTTCCCTGCCACTTACTTGTTCCTGCTGGTACTGTAAAATTCAGCCCATTGTTTTACCACCCGTCCTCCAAAAATAACACAGCAAATGCATCAAGTTCTTAATCTGTACAATTTGAATAAGATGCTCATTGTCTTGTGTATAAGCATTCAGACAGTCTCTCTTGATAGTCTAGCTTTCAGAATGGATCTTGAATGTGACATTCTACCATAATGTTGGAGGAAATTCTTTTGCCTTTATACATAAGGAACACGATATTAAGTAGCTCCATTTTAAATTGTTTCAGCACCTAGTGGCCTCAGTACTTGTATAGTACAAATATCTTGATTCATTTGAGTACTGTTACCTAAAAAATACAATTTCCTGAAGGTTATTTTCATTTCAAAATAAAGTACAGAAAGTTGTTCATGGGATTATCTTCAAATTATTTTGGAATGAACTTTGTTCTATATAAAGGATGCCCTCTGTACCAAAAATTTTTGAAGCTGGGGAGATGTAAGCCTTGACTTATTGTTAATAGACCTTGGCAGAACAGCTTCTGTTATTTTAGTGAAAGCCAAGTTTTGCAGGAAATCCAAAATAAAGGCAGAAAGTTCAGGAGAGTTTTTTTGGGTCTGCAGTGTTAACTCCACTTCTTTCTCCACAGATGTTGCTGGACCAGCTGACTATTTCAAGCACTTTCTGTTTCCATTTGTTTTGAACTTGTTTACTATGGCTTTGAGAGTGTGGGATATATAAATACTCTGGCTGAACTTTCTACCTTTTATAGATGTGAGCATATAACCAAGGCCTTCATTTTTCACATTGCACACCACCTGGAAGGAATATTTTTTCAATGCCTTAAGTTGCAGCCAGTTCTATACAACCAAACTACAAAGGTGTCATATTTGTTTTATTTCCTGTGACTGCCTGTTCATGGAAGATGTTGCTGACTTGTTACTCTTTGAGCCTGAAGTAGAGTTGCATATTTGTCTTCCTGCATCATCAAAATAATGGTAGCCTGATCTTTTGACGTCCTCTGTCCCTCTCTGTCGCCCCCCCCCCCACCCCACCTTCCTCTCTTTTTCTCCCCCACCCTCAACCCTTCCAGATTAAAAATGTCATTGACAAACTAGTTTTGATACATAATGATTGTAAAGGAAAACAAAAGTGGACAAAAATTCTTCGACATGTCCTCCCAGGGATTGTTGCTGAACAAAGAGAACTTAGAATGCAGTTTCATAGTTCCTTGGAAGTGGAGTCACCGGTAGATAGGATAGTGAAGGCAGTGTTTGATATGCTTGCCTTTATTGGTGAGTGGATTGAGTATAGGAGTTGGGAGGTCATGTGGCTGTACAAGACATTGGTTAGGCCGAGTTTGGAATACTGCATGCAATTCTGGTCTCCCTGCTATGGGAAGGATATTGTGAAACTTGAAAGAGTTCAGAAAAGATTTACAAGGATGTTGCCAGGGTTGGAGGGTTTAGCTATAGGAAGAGGCTGAATAGGCTGGGGCTATTTTCCCTCGAGTGTCAGAAGCTGCGGGGGTGACCTTTATAGAGGTTCATAAAATGATGAGGGGCATGGACAGGCTGAATAGCCAAGGTTTTTCCTTAGGTGAGGGAGTCCAAAACTAAGGTCATAGGTTTAAGGTGAGGGTGGAAAGATTTATAAGGAACCTAAGGGGCAACTTTTTTCTTGCAGAGGGTGGTGTGTGTGTGTGTGTGTGGAATGAGCTGCCAGAGGAAGTGGTGGAGGCTGGTTCAATTACAACAGTGAAAAGGCAGCTAGATGGGTATATGAATAGGAAGGGATTAGAGGGATATGTGCCAAATGCTGACAAATGGGGCTAGATTTATCAAGGATAGCTGGTCGGCATGGGGACAAGTTGGACCAAAGGGTCTGTTTCCAAGTTGCACATCTCTATGACTCTATGGCATGTTTAAGAGAAACTTTGAAACAAAGACTTAAGAGGAAAAGAATTTTGCTCTGAGGGACACAATATGATTTATCAGTTTATTATGTAACCTTTTCTTCCCTACCTCCATCTCAACTTGTGAAGTTAAGTAGGTTTCACATGTCTTCACTTTAAACACCAGCCCACCCTGTCTATTTTGGGCTTCAGAGGGGACTTTCCTTTACTGCAATCTATTCATTAGCTAATGAACAGTTTTATGTTGTCAGAATCTGCAGATTAACAAAATCAAGTCAACCTTCAAAGAACTTCTTCTCAAGTATTATGATTAATCCTAAAGCATAGTCAGCAGCCGCTCCACAGTATAGTGGCTGCTGGATCAGTGGTCTGTACCCATCTCCGTGCATGAGAAAGGGTTCTAAGTTCCAAAGAGGGGTCAGGGGACCAAAAATGTTAACTCTGATTTCTCTGCACAAATGCTGCCAGACCTGCTGAATTTTTCCAGCAATTTCTAGTTTTGTTGCTTGAGAAAGGGTTTCCTGTCTCACTTTGAATGAAGCTGTCCACTATCTTCCAAAATCCTCTTCCCCCATCCCCAACTCAAGCAATCGTCAAAATTAGTGATAGTAATGTATTTAAGTGTAATAAATTTGAGAAATTGATTGACAGCTATAATAATCAGTGACTGTTTTATGGCAGTCAAAATGCCTGACAGGAAATGGAATTTGTGCTAGGAAATTAAATCTTCTAATTATGGTTTACTGCATTTGCTTATCTCTTTAAAAACTAAACAGAAGTGAGGCTTTTAGAAGCATGTTAAATGACAGGTACACCTGCCAATATGGCTGAACAAGAGAAAATTGACAAAATAATGACATTTGCCACTTAATATAAATGAATGTGAGATATTCCGAAGGAGGGATGATAATGAAATTTAAACCAGGATGTACTGGGGGTCTTTGTAAATGAAGGGATTTAGGATTCTAGTTAAAAGGGTACAATAGTGAATAGCTGCTACACTTTTTGATCGCAAGAAATAGAAGATGTAAGTGCAAAGAATTTCTGTATAAAGAATTTAGACAGAATGCGAGTCACACCTCACTGAATAACATGAGAGCCAAAGTGCATCTGGGGAAAAACAGTTGTGAGAAGGATGTTGAAAATTTGAACTGAATTGCTCAAAATACAAATGTTCAATCAACTGATTTTTTCCTTTTGTAAACGAAATGGATGCTGACTTTGGAATTCTGAAGTGTTTGTGGATTTGGAAAATGGCAGAGCAATGAACCCACGAACTAT